GACTGTGGAGCAGCATGATAGACAGCAGGTCGGGATGAATGTCGACCTCCATCTTACCAAGCTTGTCGATGGCGTCGAAGAAATGACGCACGTGGTCACGTACGTCGCCGCCATTTTCCATGCGCTGCAGCATTAGTTGTTTCAACAGCGTGGCTTTCCGGGAGGGTCCCTTGGACTGGTATATGCTTTCGAGCTTTAGCCAGACGTCCCTCGAGGTCTCGCATCCTTTGATCTGCTTCAGCTCGCTGGGACTGATGGAAAGTATAATGTCCGACTTGGCCTTACTGTCGTTGACTTTCTATTGTTTCGTAGCGCTTGCCGAGGCTGCGTCTCCGGCCACATGTGTCGGCTGTGCGAAAGAGCCGCTCACGTACGCCCACGCGTCATTCTTGATCAGCACCGCCTGCATTTGCAGCTTCCACGTGTCGTAATTGTCCTTGCCGAGCGCTTCGATGCCCGTTAAGCCGGCCGCACTTATTCTTCCAAATCGCTCTAACCTATCGTCCGCGTGAGAGGCCGAAACCGATTCACTTCGGCTCTTTCTTCGTATTTTCGCCCGTATCGTTTTCCCGGGCGCGACTGGGCCCATAACCTGTCGATGCCGTGTGGATATACGGAGGTAGGACAGACTAAAATGAGTCGGATTTAGTGAGCGAAGGTACAGTTTAGTGAAACGCGTGTGATCACAGATACACGTTGTACAGAAGTGAGTAATGCGCAGCAGTACAGGAAACAAAGGAATCGACATCGTAGTATAGATGACGATCGATATCGATGTATCGACTTGGTGTGAATCGCGATCTCGGCAACATTTATCTTATCTGTAGTTTAGTATTTCATTTTAGTTTTTATATTTTGTCCCTATTTTATCTTTATTTCGGAACTTATATCTTTTATATATTGTAAAATTTTTTTCCTTTTTATAGCAGGGCATAATTAGTTCTTTTATTTAAACGTTCAAATCAACAGATAGCTCACGCGTCACATAGATAAAGAATATCTATTCTACAATCTTCCCTTTTCTTTTTAAGGTTCCTTTTTCTAAAATAATAACTAAACAATAACATATATGCCTAATAATTAAGTATTATATACATAAATAGTATTATGTATTAAATAATAGTATATTATAATAGTATAAATAATAGTATATATTAAGACTTTCCCAAATTTCCCATGCAAGGATGTATATTTTTATTTTTCTTTTTTTCCTATCCTTTTTTCTTTTTCTCTATAAAATTAAAACCAATTTAAAATATATCATTACTTCACCTTGCATAAGGATGTTAGTTGAGCTAAAATCGAACTTTTATTATAAATTATTAAAACTCTGAACTATTATCTTAAGATTAAACTACAGCTGGGAGTAGAGCTTACGCGGAGCCTTGCTACCTTATCTTAAGGAAACAAGCGCGAGTATAGGTTCTACCAAACTTTGAGGAGCATTGATTGGTCCTGAAGGGACACTCCCACATTCATTTCGAAAATATAATATAAAAGGATCTGCCAAAAGCAGGAACGATCAGAGAGAAAGAACGAGTGCGTAAAAGAGCAAAAATAGTACTTGTCCGACATAATGAAGGTGAGAACCATCCTCCCACTTCGTCAAGTAACCTACTCATTGTTTTTTCTTTCCTTTTTTTTGTCTTTTATTAAACGAGAAAACTAAACTAAATCGGCCGAAACCTGAATCTCTGCTCTGCGTCT